CAGTCATGGGCTCGTGGGTCAGGCTCAACTGGCGGTTATATTATATATATATATATATATATATATATATATATATATATATATATATATATATATATATATATTTTTTTTTCATTGCCTTTAATTTAATTAATATCCAGGTTCTAGGCGTAACCAAACAATAAAGGTGAAGTAAATTAAAAAGGAATAAAAATAAATAAAGTAAACCTTTAAGAATTTAATTAAATTAAATATTAACACAATAAAGAGCCTCATAGGCTGTCACAACAAATTGATTCACTATCGAAACTTTTAAGACACAAATGATATTAAACATCGAAACATCAAAAGAACTGCTTAAATATATAGAATAAAAATATAGCACAGGATTACGTTAACACTGCATAAACATATAAATAACTAACACTGAAATTAACTATCGTGAAACAACACTGAATTACTTAAATATAACTAAGCAAGCACTGATGGACACATAAGAGACATAAATAGGTACTCACATAGATATACCACATTGGTGGTGACAGGAACAGCACAGAAATAAAATGAAGTATAAGTAACAGGTGACAAGTGTCACTCAAAAGAACGTGAACTGAATGACAAGGAGGACTGAACTCAGTCAGTTGGTAGACCACTATATATAGGGTCAATTCCCGCCAAAAACCCGCCAGTGAAACGATGCAGATGGTTGTTAGAGAAACAAAGAATGCTTGTTACAATACTAAATGAAGAAATAAGATGGGCTTGAACAAATAATAACAGTTAAAACCTTAACAGCACAGGTTAAGGTGAATAGATTATATAATAGTAAATATAACACATCATTACAGGAATAATATGGAACATTGAAGCATGTTATAAAAAAAAAATAGAAAATACGACATGTCAAATAATATATATATATATATATATATATATATATATATATATATATATATATATATATATATATATATATATATATATATATATATATATATATATATATATATATATATATATATATATATATATATATATATATATATATATATATATATGTAACCGTCGGAATTTATGGACCTTTAATTTCTATTGGACTTGGTTTATTAAAGATTATAGATGGTAATTGCAGGAAGCACCCCTTTAGTGAGTAATCCCAAACCAGCACAAGAGCACTTAATTTACTAAACAAAATGAATTGTCCGTGACCCGTGGAAGAATAGCGTATCAGACATCAGAGATTGAATAATTTTAAAAATTACATACTATCCTCCAACACTACAAACAAATCAAATAGTGGTAACCGATATGCACTTCTTAACCTGAACTTAAAATACTACCTTGGGGGAATAAAAGTTATTATCTATGTGGAAATTATTAGAACTCAGGCAATGCCTCATTAGAGGATAATAAGTTTAAAGTATTAAGAAATGTTGCTTGTACACATGAACCAGGCCTTAAGGGCTTTCAACAAAATATCAATCACTTAAAAATGATATTAAAAAAATAGGAAATCAATAACTCTACAATGAATAGGCCTTAAGGGCACTCAACAAAATGATATCCAGCACTGAGAAACTGGTAAAAAAAAGAATAGAAATTAATAACTCTATAATGAATAGGCCTTAAGGGCACTCAACAAAATGATATCCAGCACTGAGAAATGTAATAAAAAGAATAGAAATTAATAACTCTACAATGAATAGGCTTTAAGGGCACTCACCAAAATTATATCCAGCACTGAGAAAATGGTATAAAAATCAGAGCTTAAGCACCCAATTCTGAATAGGCCTTCAGGGCGCTCAACAAAATTATATTTCTCCAACAGATACACACCTCCCAACCCTAACTTAAACACTACTCTGGGGAAACAAAGGTTATACCTGAGATTGCGATTATAAAGAAATATTATGCACACAGCATACATAAGTAACTGAAAATAGTATTAACTACACAAAAATTTTTGTCACTATTATTTAGAAGTTACTGAGTCCACCAATACCCGTGAGCCATGCTTCAACCTAACACACACACAGATTCCACCTGCACCAGAAGTCGCTTTAAGGCACAACCAACAGGCACCCGTAGTTTAAGGCCCAAATCAGCCTTTCTCCACCTTGGAAAGTGTACTCTAGACTCCACTGACTCTTGGCCCCAGAGTGCGGCCCTGTATCACCAGCTGCTTCACTTTACCCCAATACATCCATGAAGCGGAAGGGAGGAGCCAATCAGACCTTGTATAGTTGAGAGAAGCTTTAGCTTCCTGTAGTAAGAGGGTTTCACTAAGCTGCTGGAGACATGTGGTATTAGAGCCGAGGTAGAGAAGAGCTGATGACCCCAACGATCGTCCTGTCGTCAGCTGGGCACCCAGACGCTAGATTCACTCAAGAGATCCTTTTGATACCCAGCTAAACAGTGACAGGCCTACACTGATCGGTCCAACGGCGACAATCGCCCCTCAATCATCAACGGCAGTCTCAAACGACAGCCAATCTCGCAGTCATCACTCTCGCAGTCAATTTCGCAGTCAAGTGGGCTCTGACGGAAACCCTGAAATGAACTCACTGTTAGCTCTTGTTAACTTTATCACTGCCCAATCTAAACCCTGTCTGAGATAGAATGAAACTTACTTGTTATACTGCAATAGCGCAACACAGCATAAGCCACGGACTATTTCTGTGACGGACGCAGGACGTCTTGTTGATCCGAATGCTTTCGCGTTACTGAGAGCCAGCCAACCTCGTGTCCTCTCAAGGCGTCAGCTAGGCCTACGCGACATATTTTCCGCCTAACTAATAACTCCTGGGACACCCGTAACATTATTCAGGCTGATAAACGATCTATAATAATTCCAAATTCAATAATAGTCTCCCTAACTTCATGAATCCCATCATTATTAATTCGGCAAATTACATTTAATATCATATAGGACTAGTTCACAACCCAGGGCTCCCTCAGACGACTGAAAACCAGTATGCCATGGCGCGCGTTTGAAATTACCTGAATTTCTAATATTAATATATATATATATATATATATATATATATATATATATATATATATATATATATATATATATATATATATATATATATATATATATATATATAATATTTACACTGTGTCGTATTTTCTAGTAAGGACCTGGTCTCACCTCCTCTGTATATACACAAACTTGTTTTGTACTCCTCTTTAGTCTGTACTACCCTGAAGATGTGAATTACTCGAAAGCGCTGGAACTTCGTGTTTTTTTCTTTCTTGTAGTTATCAGTATATATATATATATATATATATATATATATATATATATATATATATATATATATATATATATATATATATATATATATATATATATATATAGGCCAGCTCCGAATACAACCAGGTGAACCCTGCCCAGCTGAGGGAAGGGTTCTACTTAACCGTTAGTAAGATTTTTGACTGGCTGATTGAGGAGATGTGTGGGTGGTTCTTGTGGTGTTGTATGAATCTAGGTGGGTTGATTCGATGAACCAGATCGACCACAATCAAGCTCTGCGGTCAGTCACGGTAGTTTAGTAGGTAGGGACACCTGTCTACTCGCCGGCCGGGTGGGTATCCACCCATTGAGTAGCCAGCTATGTCTTCCAAACCACCATCACCACCAACCATCAACCACCAACCGAGTGTGGTCTCCTGATCTTGCAAAAGGAGTACTTTGTTAATTAATGTTAAATTCTTCTCCCCCCTATCTAAACACTGTCTGAGATCGAATAAGGACTTACTTGTAACACGGATGAATGAGCGGGAAGGTGACGAGGCCACGTGGTCGCTTTCCGCCAAGGAAAGCGTAGTTAGACGTTTGTTTAGGTTAATGACCGTGAACTACTAAGGCCAGGTCAACGTCTGCATCCCTCAGGGCGCTCGCTTGCCCCCCTCCCCTCATGACGTCATCTTTCGGGTATTTCTAATAGTTTCTTTGGGACACACGTACCATATTTAGACTGGGAAAGTATCCATAATAACTTTAGATTTTATAATTGTCCCTTAACTTCATGAATCGTGTCTACATTAATTCGATAAAGTACATTTAAATTTCTATAGGCCTAGTTCAAAATGCTTCCTTCGCCTGACTGAGGGCGTTGCTTGGAGGCTTTGTTTTAACTCTCCACGAGGCATGAGTGTTTCAGCCTGGCCTACTTATGTTTCCCTTTTCGGCAGATCGGTCATATTTGTTCTAACGTCTCTTAGTATCACATTAAAATTTCTGAATATATCATATATATTAATAATAATAATAATAATAATAATAATAATAATAATAATAATAATAATAATAATAATAATAATAATGGCTGCCCATCGTGTAACGAAGATGGCCGGTTCTAGGGCCACCTAGGCATGAATTTGTTTAAGGTGTAGAAACTGTCGCCAACACAACATCCACACCCTGAGTTAACGAGTTGCATGACCCAGTATCAAGGAATAGTCCGAGAAGACCAGACAACTCGCCAAGCTCACTGGCTAGCCATTACCCCAGATTACGATCCACAAATCGATTAACATCCAGGTTCCCAATTACTGCTGGGTAGACAGAGGCAAATGACGTAAAGAAACTTGCCCATAGTTCACCCTGCCCGGGGATCGAATCCGGGTTAGCTCGCTTGCGAGGCGAGCTTGCTGACCATCAGTCCAAATGGCACGCGGACTTCCATATACAGTACAAACAAGACCGCTTGCTATATGGACTGATGAGATATATGTTTAGCCTCCTGTTTCCTAGCTGGATTTGGTAAAATACTACTCCGACTACGTAGTTGGCACGGGCAATCCCCATTCGAGGTTCACGGCGCTTAATAAGCACGCTGAACAGGCTGTGTGTAGAATATAACAATGCCTAGGATTGGTTTTGTTGTCCTTGTGGTGCGGTGGTAGCGATCCATGTTCACATTCACTTTCAGAGGTCTAGGATTCGAATCCCAACTAGTGAGGTATATTGAGGTATATATATATATATACACTCCACGTTTTTCTACTTTCAGGTTTCCTGGGAGAGAGGTACTCATTGAAGTCACGAAACACCATTGTTACCAAAAGCCACTATGTAAAGCACCTTAGAAAGTACCCCAATGTGCCAGCCATTATCATCATCAGGAACCCCGCCAGGTATGTCCTGCCCCCAGTGACTCACACTCACACTAACAGAGGTGGTAGTGGTGTGTGTGTCTTCCTCCATAACACACACTAACAGAGGTGGTAGTGGTGTGTGTGTCTTCCTCCATAACACACACTAACAGAGGTGGTAGTGGTGTGTCTTCCTCTATAACACACACTAACAGAGGTGATAGTGGTGTGTCTTCCTCTATAACACACACTAGAAGAGGTGGTAGTGGTGTGTCTTCCTCTATAACACACACTAACAGAGGTGGCAGTGGTGTGTCTTCCTCTGTAACACACACTAACAGAGGTGGTAGTGGTGTGTCTTCCTCTATAACACACACTAACAGAGATGGTAGTGGTGTGTCTTCCTCTGTAATACACACTAACAGAGGTGGTAGTGGTGTGTCTTCCTCTGTAACACACACTAGAAGAGGTGGTAGTGGTGTGTCTTCCTCTATAACACACACTAGAAGAGGTGGTAGTGGTGTGTCTTCCTCTATAACACACACTAACAGAGGTGGCAGTGGTGTGTCTTCCTCTGTAACACACACTAACAGAGGTGGTAGTGGTGTGTCTTCCTCTACAACACACACTAACAGAGGTGGTAGTGGTGTGTCTTCCTCTGTAATACACACTAACAGAGGTGGTAGTGGTGTGTCTTCCTCTGTAACACACACTAACAGAGGTGGTAGTGGTGTGTCTTCCTCTGTAATACACACTAACAGAGGTGGTAGTGGTGTGTCTTCCTCTGTAACACACACTAACAGAGGTGGTAGTGGTGTGTCTTCCTCTACAACACACACTAACAGAGGTGGTAGTGGTGTGTCTTCCTCTACAACACACACTAACAGAGGTAGTGGTGTGTGTGCCTTCCTATAACATATAGGCCAACAGAGATAGTTTCCTTGTCGGTAAACTCTGCATATGTGTTGAGGAAAGGCATTGGGCTTCTTGTCTCACTTAATTTTTCATCTTAGCCCACTCCTAAGGATAGATACTTTAAACGATGTTCATTGCCACCCAAACTTGTGAGTAGTGTATCAGCTTGAGCTAGAAATTCCTAGCTGAGCAAGAAAATAGCTCTGGAACTTTAATATAAGTCCATTATGCCTTAGATGGAGAAAACACAAACTCAAATCTAGTGGCCGGACAGAAAATGGAAGCTATAACGAGAGATAAAACAGTTGCAATGAGTTATATTGGGTTTAAGTGAAGTTATATGAAAAGTTCTAATAGCATAAGTGATAAATTATGTAATGTAATGTATTCAGGCAGCGAAAATCGCGAATTGAAGAAGGTATTTTCATACGTTAAATTTACTGTTCCAGCCATAGACTTGGAAATAAGTCAGATTCATGCACCAATTAATAACAGTGAAGACTAGGCTTCAGAAATATTTTGTGAAAAACTCCAAAGACGATAAGAGGTTCGGGAGATGTTATGATGGTTAAATGCAAAGGAAGAGATCGTGAAAAAAATCTGGACACTTTCAGCAATATCACAACCTATGTCACACCCAAGCTTACCCGAAAAGACACAGAGCTGGACAATAGAGATATACTGCTATGGCTAGCTTTAAGTAAGGTACACTTTATAAGATTCTCTTTCGGTGTTCCCAAATACCTAGTCATGCCTGAAGAATAAAATCCTGGGCGAAAATGACCAACAGAAACACCCAGATATATCCACCTTAATTAAGTATTTTTACAAACTAAAGGTACAAGACATAATATAAATGTACTTCTCAAACTATAATATACAGCTAATGCACTTATTACCTAATTTGGAGTTCATTATAAGCACCACTGACTCCTACGTAACATTCACTAGGAAAGGATTCACAAACCTTAAGCCACATGGTGGCACAGAAAGAGAGAAAAGGGCAGAGGCAGATCTACAGTATGTCCAGAACCACGCCAAGGACGAGACAAGGCAGGAGGAGAGGAGGGACTTCTACACTCAGGCAAGGATAGTGTGAGACAGGGAAGCCCTAGTTGTGAGCAGTGGTACTGACCCAGCCAGCACAATAAGTTCCGCCCACCTGCACATGTGCAGATGACCTTCGTTTAATTCATAAGCTTACGTTAACTTCTATACAAGGTTTGAGACAAGGTTATAAATGAGAGAACGTTAGAGATATTTATGGGAAGCCAAAGGTAATTAATATCAACTAAAATAAATATTATAACATTGATTACACATACAACAACAAATGGGCTAACGCAAAATTGCTTCCTAGTAACTCAAGTGGTATGATGAAATACTGACCACACCATATTTGGGCGCCACATGGCAGGAACATAAGAACATAAGAATGGAGGAAACTGCAGTGGGCCTATCGGCCCATACTGGGCAGTCCCATTCACACCCAACCCCTATTGCTCATATATCCATCCAACCTATGTTTGTAGCTATCCAGCGTATTCGAATTCATGATTTACTTCACACTACAACTAATTCTATCCATTCTTACACTGATGATTCGACTCTTCACTCTTCTTCACATTTTACCCTTCCTCCTAAATCTCAAACTAGATCTGTTTCTAGAGCTGATATCATTACTTCTATCAATGTGGATCTGTGCAACATCTCTGAGTGGAGAGGTACAAACTTGGTTAAATTCAATAGAAATAAAACTCAGTATTTACCAGTTACACTTTCTAAATTAGATGATCTCCCACCAATTACATTTTAGGATGCTATCATCCTGCCAAATTCTGAAATAGATATGCTAGGCCTCACCATTTCCTCTAATATAACCTGGAAATCACACATCCTTAATATAGCTAAAGCTGTCTCCCGAAAGTTGGGAATGCTGTACAGATTCCGTAGCTACTTCACTCCTGAGCAGTTGCTACAAGTTTAAAGGGATTCATTCGTCCTAACTTGGAGTACTGCTCTAATATCTGGGGTGGCTCTTCTTCTGTCCAACTATTAGATAGGGTGGAATCAAAGGCATTTCGTCTTATTAACTCTCCTCCTTTAGTCGACCATTTCTCTTCCCTTTTTCTTCCCCCGCAATTTTTTTTTTTTTTTATTGGGAACCCCCCTACATCTTTATGTAAGGTGAAGCGCAGAAGCGTTTACAGAGCCCAACAGGGAAGCATGCTAAGTTCATGCTTGCCTTTATGTCTCACGAGTTAAGGGCGTAGAAGCCTGAAGAGTCAAGGGCGTAGAAGCCTGAAGAGTCAAGGGCGAAGAAGCCTGCAGAGTCAGTATTTTATGTCATCAAGTTATTGGAAGCTCCTACAACTCCCTGAATACGAATTCGCAACTTTCGACTTACAACAGGTACCTACTTTACTGCTAGGTGAACAGGGACTAATGGGGTCTAGGAAGTAAGTCCAAACAACTTCCACCGGCCCGGGAATCGAACCTGTGACATCTTGCTTGCGAGGCAAGAACGGTACCGCTTCTACCACCGGTCCTCCCTTCACCGCAATCTTGCTTCAATCTCTCTCTTTTACAGGTACTTTAACGGGCAATGTTCGATGGATTTGGCATTCTGTGTGCCGCCATTTAGGCCGTGGGCTCGTAACACACGTCTTACCAGCGGTGCCCACCGTTTCTCTGTGGATGTCGATCACTCGAGAATAACCCGTTATAGTACCTCCTTCCTTCCTCACACAGCCAAACTATGGAATGCTCTGCTTTCTTCTGTATTTCCATACTTATACAATCTGTCTCACTTTAAAAAGCTGGTTTTCCTTCATCTTCGTGGTGTAGATTAACACAGTATAATATTTTTCTTCTTTACAGTATTTTCAATTTCCTTCTGTTCCTATTTTTCGCCCCCAGGCCCCGTTGTGGGTCGTTTGACCTGTGTCCAGGTCAGCTAATTCCCGTAAAAAAAAAAAAAATTGGTAACTTGTTCCAATCGTCCACTACTCTATTTACAAACCAAAGTATACCTGTTTCGCGCCTAAATCTAAATTTGTCTTATTTAAAACCATTGTTAAGAGTTTGATCCTGGTTGGATAGTTTGAGTACCTTTCTAATGTCCCCTTTGTTCAGCCCTGACTTCCATTTATACACCTCTATCATATCGCCCCTCACTCTACGTCTCTCGAGGGAGTGTAAATTAAGATGCTTTAACATGTCTCTGTACTCAAGGTTCCTAATGCTCGGGACTCGCCTTGTCATTCTCCTCTGAATTCTTTCCAAGGATTCTATATCCATTCTGTAATACGGTGACCAGAATTGAACTGCGTAATCCAAGTGAGGTCTCACAAGCGCAAGATATAGTTTTAGGATGACCTCGCTAGTCTTTTAACTAACACTCGTTTGAAATGAACCCAAGTACTTTATTAGCCTTGTTTCATGCAAATACACATTGTTTACTTGGTTTAAGATTCCTACTTATCATTACTCCTAAATCTTTCTCGCAGTCGGATTTCTCAATAATATCGTAGTTCATCTGGTATCTGGTTTCCGTGTTTACATCTCCTATACTGAGTACTTTACATTTGTCCACATTGAATTTCATCTGCCATTTTTCAGACCATTCGAAAAATTTGTTTAATCTTCTTTTAGTTTTGCGGAGTCTTCATCAGATTTAATTACACTCCCTATTTTAGTGTCATCAGCAAATTTACTTATGTTGTTGTCTACGCCGATATCTATGTCGTTTATATCTATAACAAATAATAATGGTCTAAGTACTGAGCCTTGGGGAACTCACTAGTGACGTTGCTCCAATCGGATTTAGTGCCGTTAATGTTGACAATCTGTTTCCTGTCGTGTAACCACGCCCTAATCTATTTTAGAATATCACCTTTAATGCCGGGAGCCTCCACTTTTCTTATCAGTCTTTCATGGGGGACTCAGTCAAAGGCTTTGCTAAAGTCGAGATATACCACATCATAATTGTGCCCCTCGTCCACTCAATCGAAAACAGATGAAAAGAATGTGCATAAATTAGTTAGACATGAACGCCCGCAAGTGAAGCCATGTTGGGAATCATTGATCAACTTGTGCTTTTCCAGGTGATTTCGAATAGAGTTTGA